AGATATTTCTATAGTCGATGAAAACCCTGTTTTTCTATGAAAAATGTCCTTATCTAACATTGATTAGCAGCCCTTTTGTTTCTGCATGCCAGATGGACTGACAGTTCAGTTGGATTCCTGGGTGATTGAAATGCTGTATTATTAGTCTTGAGAGAGATGCTTGAATATCTTCTGTAATTTATCATTATTTATTTTAGTTATAGAGTGAAATAGTTGTTTCTACAGAAGTCTATAAGGTGACCCTCGTTATGTGACGTGATAGAGAGTAAGCACAGGTAAGCCTCGCTCTAGATCTTGACCCACTTACGTCAGGCTAACCCTAACCATTATAACTAAGTGGAGGGTGGACTCTCTGTTACAAGGACCCTCTGTTTCGTCAAACCGGTGAAAATGGCTAATTTGACTTTGGCGTTTTTGAAGGGACTGTCGTTGTTACTTAGCAGTACCCTATCGCGCTCAGCTACCTTTCCTGTGATAGTAACGGTCAAGGTCACAAGAGAGTGGGCGTCAATTTGACTGTACCTATTGGATGGCCGACTCGCCACATGGATAGGAAAAAATTCCAGTCTAAATGTTCAAATCATGGCATATTGACAAGTTAACGGACACAAGAGTAATTGCTTTGGGACACTTAATTGGTATTCATACCGCTCTCAATATTTCACACTCGCAAAAAATGGAATAGCATGCAATTATTTCTAACCGTATTTTCTGGTCATTCATTATAGACTACAGGGTCTACAGCAGCGACTGCCTACGCCCACCTTGTATTCGTGGCAATAATGTTGGGTCAAAAGTTTAGATTGGGTAGTGTTTATTTCCATTACCACGGGGCGCAAACGTGCAAATGAAATAAAACGAATGAAGCCAGTATCACACCCATGTAAAAACGTGTGATTCGGTGCCAAGTCAAGCGCCGGTCAAGATGGTAGTCGCTGTCACACAAGTAGAACTGAGACAGCTTTGCCAATGGAAAAGAACAGACAGAGAGCAAAAAATCATTCCAGTGCATTCAACATTTTTAGGCCAAGGTACAAACAAGGTGATGGGTTTTCAATGCCACGAGATATATCACGACATTTCTCTTGAGAACACTTCTGAAAGGCCAAGGCAATGATAACTGATATAATTTGTTGTTTTTCGTGTTTACTGCAAAGTATCTGAATCCCCCTGTCATGCAATACGGGCGATTTAATTGACGGAAATTTCATGTTCAGTTTCTGGCGATATGTAATTGCGTCGATTTTCCGGCAGCAGTAGATCTATTCTTTAGATAACAGGCTTCCGTTTAGGTAATATCTAGTGCAAATAGAAGACCTAACCTTTCAATGCTGCGATTAAGAGAAGCATTGCATATAAAAACATTACTGTGTAATCTTCGATACTTTCTTCAAGGTCTTCCCAAGCTAAGCCAATAATAAAAAAAGGTCAACGACCAGACAGTGGGGCCAGACAAAATTAATAAGTTCGTTAGAGATTGCAACCGACCCTAATTTTGTGGAAAATTCCTTAAGGGAAAAAATACATTGGGTATTGGTTTGGTAATTAAGGCAATTTTTATACTTGACCCTGTGGCCCTGGGTAAAACCTGTTGGTTTTATGCTCTAAAATCAAAAACAATTCCTCCCCCTTAAATGAATAGAAATAAATAAACAAAACCACCAACCGACTCTGAAATTTGGCTGTTATTATCGCTATACTGTTATACATATGTTTAAAAAAAAGTTAAATCTATCAAACCTGTTTCACAGGGAGTCGCTCCTTCGTTTATTCTAAAGAGACCGTTGGTTTCCTGTGCTATCTTCCATTGTGTCCTTATACGGCGGGATGTTCTCACTGATTGTGAACAGAGGGAGCACATCTAACGCAATGCCATGCAATATGTGATTGTGGTTTGCCTTCAGCGTTATTCATATCATATTGAGAGAGAGAGAGAGAGAGGGAGAGAGGTAGCATAAAGAAACAGGAAGTCAAAAGAAAAATGAAATCAGAGGAAATATGTATACACGATAAAATACTTTTTTCAAATTTGAGAAAGTGGCGAAAGCTGGTACAGACAAAAAAGCTGGTACAGATTCAAAAAGCTGGTAATGATTCTAAAAATATTTTGTCAATTTTGATCCAATTATACATAATGCTTAACAGCAAAATCACCACGAATTTATTATGTACCATACGTTACATGGATATTCAAATAATGTTACTAGCGAAGTGTTTCAGGTCTGTGGGTGTGATGTGAAATATGGACATTTTACATAAATTGCATTGCTTCTAGAAAAGATACTTTGTATATAGTATAATATGTGCTGGAAAAAAAACATCATAACTTCAAGAGAAATAATTCAGTCAGGCAGGATTTCGAACCCGACCTGTACGTTAGCACTGTGATCACTCCTGTAAGTTTGAAGACAATAGTTCAACAGGTTTGACACTGTGCGTGCTGAAAAAGCAAGAAAAAACAGCAAGTCTTTTGGATAATTAGTCCGATGAAGCTGATTTTCCAACAAACTCAACCTTTATTTTACAAATATTTATCAGTTTTGTAAGATCGAAGACTAAAGGTCAAATGGAATTCCGCTTATCATATTATCAGTGAAAGTGCACGGCGACGGCGACGACGGACGCAGGTGATGGCTAGGCCTATATGTACAGGCACGATTTGGCTTTTCCTTAAAAAAGATCGTATTTCCCCAGGAAGATCCAGTCTGTGTACTCTTTGAAATGAAGACGCGTTCATCTACTGCAGCGGTCACATTATACAGCACACACCCATTTAACGAAGATGATAACAGAGATAGCAGACTTAAACTATTTAACAAACGGTACAGTTTTCTGTACATGCGTTTTTACTCACTTTCAAAAGTCCTTAAGTACCCAAGAAAGTAATCCAGTTCACTGTCCGTGTAGAGCGTAAGGACCCTCTTCGCTCAAAGTCAGCTTATTTTGATAAAAGTTAACATAAAAGTTGCTAATCTCTCAAACTTGTGCAAAACAGAAAAGTGTACCGTACGAAGTAAGAAGGTCCCTAAACCATGCACCCACGGGAGCGGGAAGGTTAAGCACAATTTGGTGGTCAGATGATATAACAGATAGCTGACGTTATCTTCTGATCGTGTGAATACAGGTTTGAAAGTTAGCACCACAGCCGTCAGTGGTCCACCGCGGTACTCTGCAGAACCAACCAAGTCCGAAAATTATGACATTTATCTTAATTATGATGCTGAATTCATCTGGAAGTAAATCCAAATTCGAATCAGCACTTTCTTTGTCTAATGTGTTAAGTTTGATTGTCTATAACCAAATTTTCAGCTACTGGATAATGTATTTGGTGAAACAGTTTTTAAATACATGTAGACATACTAGTACGTATGCAAAAGACTTTTTAGGTCTCTCTCTCTCTCTCTCTCTCTCTCTCTCTCTCTCTCTCTCTCTCTCTCTGAGTGCAGGCCCGTAGCCAGGGGGGGGGGGGGGTTCGAAAGAACTGCCCCTTTTGCTGGGAAAAGGTCCACTCTGCGTAACATTTGATCTAGGTTCATGAAGTTTTTTATGGAAAAAGGTCCACTTTTTCAGCAAAAGACCCCCCCCCCCATTAAAATTGCTGGCTACGGGCTTGGGGTGTGTGTGTTGTGTGTGTGTGTGTGTGTGTGTGTGTGTGAGAGAGAGAGAGAGAGATGAAGAACAGTCGAGCACTGTGAGGTGAGCACTATCCCGTGTCCTCGAGGTGACCACCCTAAAGCTGGACCAGTGCATGTCAATTACTACAGGTAACCGCACGCTGCCCGCACCTGACCGCGGGCTGATGGAATCATTATATCAGTCCAGCGACACATTCCATCAAAAAACGAATTATTGCTATCTTTAATGGTACCTTGTAACCAAGAAGAAAACAACCTTCGATAAAAATCTTCTATGAGTGTGCATAAACAAAATGAGATGTCAAATCCTATTTTGATAATGAATTCATCGAAACGGCACCAAACGCAGCATCTACCCATCCTGTTTAATTAACTGCACTTACTTAATTGATAATATCATTACGCGCTCTACAAAAACGCCACGGGTCTTCTTTATCTCAAAGAATAATTCTGTTGTTCATATAAAAATGTGGAGGAGTCATAAAAAATCACTATTTCTACTAAATGAATAGGTAATGACACGCATGAATACAGTGCGTTACGTCCCAATGACTTGAGCTTGTCTTTAACTTTGTCTTTAACTGTCAGTTTTAAAAAAGAAAGCATTTGTCAGTTTCGTGAGTAACAGTAACACGCAACAGGATGTAATCCATATTATGACTACGGACAGAAGTACATGTAATACATAGACATGTAAAATACGTAGTTTATTTTTTTTAAGAATAAGTATAAAGAATATGTTATTGGGATTTTTGTCATATTTTTCTGTAATATTAGTCTCTCCTGACTCCCTAAATACGTTTTCTTTTCTAATTGGTAATAGAATTTTAGAAAACACCGGAAAATTTATTTCAATTAATTTTTGAGCCGTTGTTGTACTTAAAACTGTGGTTTAATGGAAATGAATAGCAACTCTTATCAACAGTTCAGAACTTTAGTTAATCACAACAAACAGGTACAGGTTGTGCTGAAATAATCATACATGAATAAATATATGCAGATAGGTAAACATATATTCACTTTTGTTTATGTATATATACATAAACAAAAATGAATTAACAAATAAAAAAGACAAGACAGTAGATAAGAGAATTGATAAATAAGTAAATGAAGAAGTGATAAAATTAATCTTAAAAAAGCATGTAAAGCCCAGCTACTGTTTCAATTTCCCCGTCATGACATTCCAAAAATGTTTGTCGGACATTCTCGTCGTAATCTTGTTGGTTTCTAATCGAACAATCTATCTAATTTTTAATGATCTAGTCACCTATGTAACACTCTCTCACAGCTGCCGCTCCTGTCCCTGAAGATGTTATCAGGGAGGTTGTTTTTGTGGGATGTCTGGCAACAGGGTCAAGCAAGGCTCGTGGTACCAATGGCACCGGGGTTGATTCACAGAACTGATTCATCGCTGAGAGTTGGTGGATAAAAATTAGACAAGACCTATCCTTGCTGTCATTTACACCTTCAGCGTCCCTTGGAGTCAGCGTGTGAGTTTTTACCGCAGTATCACAGCCTGTGTGTCAATGCGCCTTCTCTTAACTGGAGTGCACATAAAGGTAATATTTGAAGTTAATATTTCAGGGCTCATTTTTAGTTTACCTTTTTAGGCTATAATACAGTGTTATGATTACTTGTCGCATTGAAATTGTAACTTGTTTTTGTTATCTTTAGTTACAACCCTTGTGTGTGCAATGCATACTATTACTGTTATTGAATTAGAGTAAAATTCTTACTGTTTCACTGCTGCACGCGACAGTTGGTAGTACACAAGATGGTGAAGTGGTCGTTGATTGTTACATCACACGCAACAATCAAACAGTGACTCTTGAAAGAATACCACTGCCACGAGAACGGCTTACCGGTGTAACAGGTATGGAAGTCCTCTAGGAACCGTAGTCCGCGTCCCATTGCTTTGTACAGGCGACATTCGTCCCATATACTAACCCCAATACTCCAAATATCCCTAACTTCCATTCCTAGACAACCATTCCTGTTACACCTGTACATGTTTAATTGGATAGGGGTTAGGGTTGGGGGTGGGGGGGGGGGAGAGTAAAGGTTAGCACTCTTATCTTAGAATAAATGACCATATGAATTGGCCTCATACTAATTCGAAACTACAAGGTACAAAGAGAAATTGCTTTTCACAGTCAGTGGTTCGTATATGGCGTTATGTGAGGACATACCGTTACTCGTAAACAACTCTTGTTGTTTTCAAAATTTGTCATTTAATATTTTCCATAAATTTGGCCGCACAGTCGAATTCAATTTACACCAAATTTAAACGAGCGTTTATATGTCTGACACCCTGGGATTGCAGACGACTGGACATCGGAAACTAAAAAGGAAAAAGCGCTCTCTTGCAAAACATCCCTATTTATAGACAATCTCACTATTTCATTAAATGCTTTTGAAACATAGGGCTATTTTATGTATTTTTTATCCTTCATTGTGTACCGGTGTGCATCCTCACTTATTTTAAGTGTCGACCATAATTTTTTTGAATTTTATAAGCTTTTATAAGGGTAAAATAGCATGATATCAGAACTTCATTGATAATGCCAATCAGTATAAATGCATATGGTGTAAAGTAGACGCATTGTATCTAAGCATGGGGGTTATCCAATTTGACGCAAGTCACCACTTCAACAGCGTCACAACTCTCCTTTCTTTTATGTGTGCAGTTGCGTATTACTGTAAGATACTTGAGTAGTTTTATCGATACTTCACACGCACTTCGTGTTCTCTCTCTTTCTCTCTCTCTCTCTCGGGTATTGAAGGGGTACTAAGTAAGGAAAACCCCCTCCATTGGTCAGTACAAAGACAATGGTCAGCGCTGTTTACAACAAGGAAGTACGTTTGAATCTAAATTTTAACATCTAGCGTGAAACTTTGACACCGTTCTCTCACCCATGCTTCTCGTAAATCACACATTATTACAGTGAAGACAAGGTCTGATGGTTGCTACCACGCTACCTGCCGACTTTGGTCAAAGGTCAAATGCCCTTATATGGAAGACGAAATGACGAGATAGTGAAACAGTGGAAACGTGACGTCATTAGATAGTCAAATTTCTTCATTGGTGGTTCTATTTTTAGATGCGTAAACAAACGTGGGCCCTATATATACCTCCCTTGTCTTATTTTCCAGCAGAAACAATAATTTGAGTGAAGAAGTCAGTGGGACAAAACTGAGACAATCTAAGACCATACAAGACTTTTAACATACCAACAAAGATGGTAAAAGTTACAAATATAACAGCCAAGAAAAACAAACATTGCACCAATGACGAGAGATTGCACGAAGCAGTGTTGAAGAACAACTTGGATGCTGTGAAGAAATTGACTAAAGTCGAATGCGACGTTAACGCTAGACAAACCAGCGGTGGTAAAACGGCATTGTTTTATGCCGTCTGCTATGGCCGCCTGGACATCGCTAAAGCTCTCCTTCACAATGGCGCTGATCCAGACCTACCTGAAGACAGAGGAAACACGCCCCTTCACGAGGCAGTCGAGAAGGCCGATATTTACATGGTCCACCTTTTGTTATCACGTAAGTTACTCAAAAATTTCCACGTTTTAAAAAAGTTTGTAAATGTGTCGTCAAGGTACTTTTATGCATGTACGTCTGCTGGTCTCTGCTTTTGATAGATTTGGAACCAGCCGTCTTCGTTAAGGCATGTATTATGAATACCGACTGATGATTTTGAGCAATGTGTCATACATGAAAAAAAAAAAAACAAAAAAAAAACACAAAAACGAGATAAATTAATATTTCCTTCAGTTTATCCTCTTGAAATATTATCTCTCAATGAACAGGTTAAAATGATTATAGAACTGGCGTATTTTATAAGCGTTGATTTGTTTATGATAAGTTGAGGAAAATACTATAACGGCAGGATACATTCAGATTATAATCAAGCTTTGATATCCTGAATGTCAGATTGCATTGAGGAAATAGATGTTTATATATATCTAAACTTTTACACACTTGAGAAGATATCTAATATTCAAAAGAGGAAGGAACTCGGATATCATCTTTGATAAGTAAATTATTGCATAATAACTTGTCATTACGTCAAAGATGTTGATAAAACGTGGTAAACTCTTATCAAATCATTATCTTTTTGAAGTTATTTCCAGTTGTTTGACCAAAAAGGAAGGCATCAGATGATTGTCACAGATATATTTTCCTAACTATGTCGGCATGTAATTTGTATAGTATTGACAAATGGTACGAATGATTATGTATCGAACTGAATAAAGGGAAAAAAATCAAGTGAGTCTATCTTCGCGATGAACGAGCTTATGCGATCATATCACTCAAGTGCACTATGGCCTTTTATGTCATTTTAATCTTATCTCATCTTGACTTCAGACAAAGCAGACGTAAATGCACAGAACCAGAGAAAGCAGACGGCGCTGTCCTTATCTTCACTGTACGGCTATGTGGACATTGCAGAAACCTTGCTTAACAATGGTAAGACATTAGCATGCTTACTCTCGTACGTATAGTTGAGTTTGAAAAAAAAATGATATTATCATATACCAACACGAATTATTCTCCGAGTAAAGAATAGGCTTACCAGTAAAACACCTGGAATAAGCTTACCAGTAGCCTAAAACACCTGGTAAACCTGAGTCTTTGGCATATTTAACCTTAAAGAACAGACATATTGAGTGGATTTAAAATGTTTTGTTAAAGTGTGGTATTCTTTTATTATATTAACCCGTTAACTGTCTTGTAGGTGCACTAATTGACCACTATGATAACGAAGGTCGCACGCCTCTCCTGATAGCCCTTCACGAGGGGAACGAAGACATGGCACGCCTCTTAATATCACGTGACTGTGACGTGCACCACTGTGATGATAAGGGGACGTCAGCATTCTATCTGGCGATTCACTCTCCAAATCTGCGAGATATTAGTCTTGCGAGACTATTAATTGCAACAGGTGAGATAAAACAGCTTTTTAAAAATTGTGTTAGATGAGGACACCTAACACAATTCAGAAATTGGTGCGCCTGATTCTGGCTTCAGAACACTAGTTGCAAACCTATTGCGACACATTTGTACAACATGCTAAGTTCTTGGAAAAGAATATTTTTTGATATTTTAATCTATGAAAGTATTGAATTTATTTGCACTATCCGCCTGCCGGCTTCCGAAATGTCAAAATACCATGTATCTCCATGAATTTGAATCTCCTAGAAGTGTTTTAATTCTAATAAATATGATACCATACTATTTCCCTAAAGGTAAAAAACGACCGACGTAAAACCCAATTACCTTTTGTCTTCTAGGCTACAAAGTCCAACAAGATAAGTCTTGGCTGTGTGCCGACCACGCCTCGCCTCCCGGACTTTTCTTCTCGAACAGAAAGTTTTTCTATGAACTCACAGGTCAACAAATTACTGACAGTGATGAATGTACAAACGATTTCAGACGCAAAAGTATAAAATGCAAAAGTTTCAACCAAAGCAAACAGCTTCTCCATGAATACAAACAAGGCCTTATTTCGGACTGCGTCACCCATTTATAAGGAAACCACACGTGCCATTTTGTTTGGGGATTTTTTAAATCAAATAATATTTTAATACCAATGTAGCTGTATCAAATACAGCAAGATTGATTATTCCCAGTTTTAGTTCTCACAGTTACAACAACAATTATAGTTTTTAGAACATGAAATACTCCCAATTTATACCTCTGACAAATCAGTAGACACGATATTGACGATGTTGACGTAAGATGCTTCTTTATTTTTAATAGGTATTTTATTTTTCATGTTTAATTTCTTAATTTTTGATGATGCCAAACAGATGGACATAAATTCGTTGCTTGTTTTAAAAGCAAGAGAAAAAATTACAAGAAAATATCCCATTACAGAAAAAAAAAAAGATTATTGAATTTCACATGCTGTAATGAACACCAGTCTTCATCCTGAATACTACTGTAAATATTTTATTGTATGTCTTTTGTACTCTTGATAATTTTGTAATTTTGCATGTTTCTTTTAATAAAAAAATTCACTGTAACCAATGTGTTTTCGTATTTCAATATAGCGATTGCACCGTTTTGTATACCAATAAAAGTCTATTTTAAGTTCCATTTAGAAGCACATAGTCACAGTCCTTCAAAATGATGGAATTTGAAATGAATCAAATGAGTTGAGACAAAACAAAAATAGCAACAATCAGAACAGAGTTGATATAACTCGTACAGTGTGGTTACAACCATCCTTAAGGCTGACTGAAATTCTCCTAGAAGTGTTTTAATTCTAATAAATATGATACCATACTATTTCCCTAAAGGTAAAAAACGACCGACGTAAAACCCAATTACCTTTTGTCTTCTAGGCTACAAAGTCCAACAAGATAAGTCTTGGCTGTGTGCCGACCACTAGACTAGAAATTTAAATAAAATCCTGGCTTGCAGAGGTGAAAAATGTTTTAAAACTCTTAAAACTGGGGTGATATGGTTACTCAGATATAGTTACTCATGGATGTACGGGTTAATAATCTAGCTGAGATGATCTGAATACGCTGCAGTCTTTTAATCTGGTTTTTTGGACAACCATACAAAATGGAATTACAGTAAAAAAAAAGGATGTAACCTCCAATGTTGTGTTTTGACAAGCTCTACAAAATGCAGTAAACAAAGAGTTCTCTATTTTTGTTAGAAATGAGAATCATGGGGAAAAGTTAAAGGTAAAATCCATATTTTGTGAAATGCAGTTCATGGTGAAAGGTAGGTCAAAGGTAAAATTCAAGGTCACAGGAAGAACGTCAAAATATGAATTCCTATTCAAGTTCAGTAGTATCTATGGGCATGTCTGTGCCAGTTTTTGAGATATAAGGGACCGAAAATTTGCAAAGTTCAGTTCATGGTGAAAAGTAGGTCAAAGGTCAATTTCAAGGTCACAGATAGATCGCCAGTATATGACTTCCTATTCAAGTTCAACCGTAACTATGGGCGTATCTCAGCTAATTTCCCAGTAATTTCACATTTTATTTTCACCACTGAATATTGCGATGTTATGCCCTTTTTTATAGTGCAATTCTTAAACTGTATAGAAAACAAAAAATTGGTAACCACTTCCAGTGTTACACTTGACAAGCTCTACAAAATGCAAGAAACAAGAGGTCTCTAGCATTAACGGTTTCAGAATTAAAGAGTTTTGGCATCTAATGGCTGCTTCTCCTTTATTAAAGCTCTACTTTATTACGTGCAAGATTACCACGTAAAGTCACATGACACCAGGTGGTGCGGTGCACAAACACGTCTTTTCAAAACATACATATATATACATATATATATATATATATATATATATAAACCACTGATACTTAAAATCTTAATTAATTACAGTTGTTGAAAACAGAAATTTTACTCTATCAACAGCATCTTATCCAAATGTTGCTTAACAAGACAATATGTTATGTATCATACGCATTTCATCAGCACAGTAAATGATAATAAGATCTATTTTTCTGCAAATTAAACAGCAACTTGGCATATAGGTATATAGAAGATTACAGGCAGAAGAAAACCATGCTACTTATTATCCTTAAACTTACAAACAAGTGACTTAAATACAGGTCAGATTGCAATACTAATTGCTACTGGAGGTAGAGTTGAAAAACCAACCTGACAACAAAGAAAAACTTGCTTAGCTTCAAAATAAATAAATAAATAAATAAATAAATAAATAAATAAAAAAGGACCTAATTTAGTTGGTTTTTCAACTCTACCTCCAGTAAGTTTGAGGGTAATCAGTACTACAGGTAACCATTTATTGCATTCCCAGTGAAGTGCACAATGAGACTTTTTACACGGACACTATGAACAAGCTGTAATTAGACTCTCTGGCTCTTCCCTATAGGCCAATCTAAAATTATCTTTCCTTACTGGGACTTGACCCACTTAGAAGTCATACACTAGAAGACCTAAAGAGGAGAAAAGCCACAGAGTCTTAATTTTATACTATCTTAAGTGTTTTTCAGTTAATCAGTTGCTGGCCAAATACATAATGCCGAGGCCACTACATACAAGACAAAAAATTATCTTGATGCTGACTATGAGATTGGTCCCAATTGATGGAGTTGCAGGACTAGTGGGATTTTGGAGCTTTGGCTTTGGAGTTGAACCAGTAACATCTTGGATTTCTGGTTCCAAAGTTGTCAAACCTGGCTGTTCTAAAAAACAAAATACACCAATACTGAGAAAAAAAGAATCAATTGGCCAATTTGTCATAACAATCTTATACAGGGATCAGAGAAACAAGTTCATTGAATCAGATTTCATGCAAGATTGAATAAGGTCCTTATTTTCCCTACCAAAAATATATCTAGTAGGAATTATTGCTCCAAACGTGTTTTCTTATAGATAACTATCTTCAAAAGAATTAAATCCAGTTCATATCTAATAACATATTACACAACACATTAAAGTTTAAACTTCATTATTTGGCAAGATAACAATATCATTTTTCATTTCAATTAGTAGTGTTCTAATTTTTACATTTATAACAATACATTTCATCAATACATTTCATCACTATACAGCTATTGGTGACTTTGAAATTGGATTAAACTGGGCTTCCATACCTGTAACAATGTTCACAATTATGTCCTTATGTACCCCCGTCTTGAACACAGCATGGCCGGTTATAGTCTGAGAATTATTAACCATACCCAGGTTGATAGTTGTTCCAGTGTTCTGCATAATTACTTCTTCAGTTATTAAGTCACAGGTGAAATTCTCAGCTGAGGATAGATTTGAGAAGCAATGCAGCAAATCTTCAGATACATTGTCTTTTTTTAGCGTCAACCTGACCTGCCATACATCCTCGTTCGTAAGTCTTTCTTGACTGAACTTGACCAAATTTATTTCAAGTTGTTGCCCATAGGCCGCCAATACTTGTGTATTTAGGCCTTTCACTTGTATGGTTCTCTGTCCCTTATCTGAAAATAAAATTGATAAAAAACTGCCGTAAAAACATCATTCTTGTATCCAGTCAAAATAAGTGAATACCTAACTGGGGTAGGGCTAAAACTTGCCAATTTAGCCAATTGCTAAAACGGACTTGAATCAGCAAAACAAAATAAGGTTGATTTGACTTGTTTTAGTCAAATTTAAACAATTTGGTAAAAAAAATTATGAAAAAGTATTCATTTGGCTAAATGAGAAAAAATTGCTAGTGGACACCTAAGCTCTTGAAACAATTTTTGAAAAAATGGCTCTACTCACCATAGACTTCTACATTGCACCGACTATTCCACTCTACATGCTTTGCATCTGTAACACGGCATGTGTAAACTCCTCCATGAGACTTAGATGCTTTTCCTATTAACAGGTCTCCACTTGGTGGGACCAGTTTGTCTTGCTCTTTGTTCAATGGTGCATGGACTTCAGGCTCACCTCCTGGATTCCATTCGGCAATTTGAGTGGGCTGTGAAGAGTGATCTAGATCCCAGATAACAGATGCTACGTTGCCGGAAAAGCTTCTGGGTGACCTCAAAAGAATACTTCCTCCCTCCACAGCTATAATGTCTGGAGGACGTCCGGATACAGTACCTGCAATGAAGTTTTGAAGTGGATACATTTTACAAAGTTTTTTGTCTATTTCAATCAAAACCATTATGAAGTTCACTGTTGTCAACTACCAAGTACATAAATGTTAGTCTGTAACATACAGTACAGGACCATTCCCACAGATATTTGGATCGGTCTATCTTTTTGGGGAGTCTCACTAAATTGCTATCAAACTTACCAGCTTAAATGTCTGCCACGCCTAGTAAAGCTGTTAGGGTGTAATTATCTTTACCCCTAGCTGATTCAGTAGGCGTGACAGACATTAAAGCCTCTTAAGCTGATAGCAATTTAGTGTGAACCCCCAGATGGATCGATCTCTGTAGGCATGGGAAACCAGTCTTAGCCTTTTTTCACTTTTAGGAAAACTGGTCCAAGGCCCCATTCAGATTGGGGACTAACTAGTCCGAGGTTCAAATATGGCTGACTCACTTGAATACTTCCTCACCGGATATCTATTCAGTGTCTATCACCAGTATTAGCGGATTAGACGGCAAGCTTTGTAGTGGGTCGCCATATCTGATACTCGGACTTGTTAGTCCCCCATTCTGAGTGGAACCCAATATTCCTAATTATTCACCTGTTTATATTCCCTTAGCCATAGTTTCCATTTTTTTAGTCTTTCAATCATGGTCAATTTTTGACAAATATTCCTTTAAGCAAAACTCCTAGCTGTCCAATATACATCAGATACTGATCAAACTCAGTTCCTTAATGAACATATGGTAATTTTGAAAATAATTGCAAGATATGTTACAATCAAGACCAGTCTTGATCATCTGAGGGTTCACTAGCCTGAATATATATGTGCTGACAATGAATGCACTCCTTACACATTTGTAGACTTGGGAACATGACACCTACGGAACAAACTATCATGAACAGTGTTTCCCCTGGCTTTCAAGCTCTGCGAGGTGGTAGGCAGTCCGCGATCCCAGCAATACTAGGGGGGTCCGGGGGCATGCCCCCCCGGAAAATTTTTTAAATCGAGGTGCAATTTGGTGCATTTTAGGGTATTTAGAACTGATTTTTTTACATTTTATGTGGCACTGAATTGTCTTGTTTTAGATGTTTTGAGGAGTAAATTCAGTAATGACATAACAAAGGTTTGGACAAAATTTATTTTCCAGTCTGTGCATTCACTATGTTTAGTCCTTTTCAGTTTATAGAACATACTCTTTCAAAAAAAAAAAAAAGTTAATACTTTCAAAAAAAAAAAA